GATTGGGACGGCTGGGGACAGGTGTGAATGGAAGAAAAGGAATAAAGGACGAGACCCCTGCAATCTCGTGTCGGCTCCCCTTTTACATTTGGTGGCAGCGGTGGGATCTTAATGGCTACAAAGAAGAATCCCCGCGGGAAAGAGCCGAGGGAAGAGGAAGCAGGGGCCGGGGATCCTTCCCATCCCGGGCAACAAGGGGGCCTGCTATCAGAAGCAGCAGAAGGGGGCCCGGATCGCCTGGAGGACCCCATGGAGGACCGCATGGCCCGCGTGGAGAGGGCACTCCAGGAGCTACTGCAGAGGCTCCCTATGGGGGGCCCGCCAGCACCGGGACCCCCACCCCCACGCATACTACGGGAGGAGAGGCCACGGGACCCGGAAGCCGACCAGCCGGCCGGGCGGGAGCCGCAACCAACCTCGTCACGCCAGCCGCCGCCGCTCCCGCCAAAACCCCCAGGGCTAAACACCCAACACGGAGAGCAGGTGGCCGGACGGCCGCGTCGGCTGGGGCCCGTCGACAAGTTCGTGGCTGAGGAAGAAGATTGGGAGGGGTTTGTCCGCCGATTCGAGGCTGCCTTCCACGCTTTCGAGTGGACAGACGAAGAGGCACTACGAGCGCTGCCATCCGTTCTGGGCAAGGAAGCACTCTCCTCTTACACCTCCCTTCCCTCGCACAGCAAGTCCACGCTACAGGCGGCCTACGAGGCTTTGGGGGAGATCTATTGCCCGGCGGAAGGAGCCTTTAAACGGTTCCAGGATCGCCAGCGAGGGGCTAAAGAATCCCCTTTAGGGGTGCGCTGCTCGTGTTGGCGAGGAGAGCTTTCCCTCGCCTGGGGGAAGAAGCGCTCGAGGACCTCGTGGTCGAGCACCTCATCGCCTACGCTTGCCGCGCCGGCGTTGTAATGCCCGTGGTGACGCCGGGGGAACACACCTCGCTGTGGGCTGCCCGGACCATCCAAGCCCACGAGCAAGTCATGGGCCGGGCGCCACCCGTGGGCCCGGTGGCTGGCGCGGCGGGGGGGAACAGCCGAGCCGTTGCCGCGGCGCTACTGGGTCCAGCGACACCAACCGCCGAACCTGCACCGTCGCCACAGGCTGCCTGTGGGGCAGCTGGGAACGGGCCCCCGACGTCTGAGATGGAGCCATCGCTGCGGGAGGTGTACGCGGCGATCCGGGGACTGGCGGAGCAGAGGGACCAGGGGCGCGACCAGCCGCCGCGTCGCTGGCAGCCGCCTCTACAACATCGCGCCGAGCCCCCCCGACGGAACGCCCTGTGGGTCTGCCACCGTTGTGGTCGAGAGGGGCATGTGGCGAGGGGGTGCCGCACGGAGCCGGAGGCCGCCAACGTCACCTGGAACCCGCCGGGGCCGAACGCCGACAGGATCCAGGCGAGTGACGCCGTCCCGCCCGGCCTCTCGGTCGGGCCGAGCAATTACAATTCCGACGCCGTGAACTTACCGGGAGTCTCCTCGGGGTGGGCGCCGTCGGTGTCGTTCCCCGGTCCCCATTGTCCGGGTCGGGGGAAGGGGATCGTGCCGGGGATAGCGCCGGGGCCTGTGATTGCGTCGCGACCAGAAGTGGCGTCGCGACCCGGAGTGGCGTCGCGAACGGACGTGACGTCGCGGCCAAAAGTGGTGTCGCGGATCGCGCCGGGAATTGCGCCGGGGCCGTGGACCGCGTCGGGGATCGCGCCGAGGCCGGAGACCGCGTCGGGAGTCGCGCCGGGGCCGGAGACCGCGTCGGGAGTCGCGCCGAGGCCGGGAGGGACGTCGCGGGCGGACGTGACGTCGCGGGCGGAGGTGACGTCGCGGGCGGAGGTGACGTCGCGGGTGGAGGTGACGTCGCGGGCGGACGTGACGTCGCGAGCGGGCGTGGTTTCGCGGGCGGGCGTGACGTCGCCGGCGGGCGTGACGTCGCCGGCGGGCGTGACGTCGCGGGCGGGCGTGACGTCGCCGGCGGGCGTGACGTCGCCGGCGGGCGTGACGTCGCGGGCGGGCGTGACGTCGCCGGCGGGCGTGACGTCACCAGTTACCTGCGACGCCGGCGAGTTGCCAGGGGCAACGGCCCGGGGGCGGAGGCAGCCCACAAGATTGACATTGCGCCCTGGAGCAGTTCCACGGCCCGCCTCGCCACCGCTTTGCGGCAGAGCGAGACGGAACCAGGGGGACCACGCCCCCGTGACAAAGGGAAGGGAGGGGAGAAGGGAGGGGCTCACGGGAAGGCCCACCCCCCAGTCCCCACTGCCCCCTACAATGGGGGGGGCCCCCCACACCACAAGGGGGGCCCATCCTACGTCACCAAGGGGGGGCAATTTGCACCACATAGAGAGCCCAGCCCGCAACCCACGGGTAAGCCCACACTATGTAACAAGGGCGCGTTCACCCTGCTGCGACGCACTCCAAAGGGAGGAACCCCATCTTCAGTCCATTTACATCCATCCCCCATCATTTCACGATGCACCACAGGATAACGAGACGCCGCCTGGTCAGTGGCCGGACTCAGCCACACAATGGAGGAAGCTGGCAAGGCGGGTGGTAGCGGCCACGTCGGGAACCTCGGTCCTGGTCGGTGAAATCGCGGGAGTGTCGGCACGTATCTTGGTGGATACGGGGGCATCAGCCACGATCATCTCGAGCACCATGCACAAGATGCTGCCGGATAAAATCCGACCTTTAGTCCCTGTCAAGACAACGTTCATTGCAGCAAATGGAGGCAGCATGGGCTTCCTGGGCCAGGTTGAAGCCCCGATACAGATTGGGCAGCTCTCGGTAGCAGGACCCATCCTTGTCTCCGCAACGTTGCCCGTACCCTGCCTGTTGGGGACGGACTTTCTGAGGCGGATGCCAATGAAAATCGATCTGGCCCATGGGCGGGTGGAAGTCCAGGGAACGCATCTCCATTTCCTAAAGGCGGAGGGGGCCAGCCGGGGTGTACCCTACGTGCAGGCTCTGGTCAGTAAGTCTGTCTCCATTCCCCCGGCAGCCCAGATGCTGATTCTGCTGCAATATCGGTCTCCCCTCGTGACAGCCCGACCAGACTCACCCATCCTGGTGTCTCCGGCGTCAGCTGCCATGGATCGCCATGCGCTGGTGGGAGCCGAAACTATTGTACAGAGGAACCAGCATCTGTTCATTCAGGTGCTGAACGCCTCCGATAGAACAGCGACGGTGCAGGAGGGAACAGTTCTGGCCCACGTTAGTCCCTTGTCACTAGGAGCCCCAGGGACAAAGCCCGAGCTTGTAGGCAGCATCAGCCAGTCCGAGGACAGAGGGGCCGAATCGTGGATGGACCAGCTGGCGGGGCCTGAGCTGGGATTGCCGCCCGACCAGAAACAGCAGCTGCACTCGTTATTGCATGAGTTCTCGGACGTGTTCAGCCGGGGACCGTTCGACCTAGGGCGCACAAATCTGTCGCAGCACCACATTAACACGGGAGATGCCGCACCCCTGCGCCAAAACACATATAGAATGAGCCCAATGGAAAAAGGGCACATTCAACAAGCGGTGCAGGAGATGCTGCGGGCCGACATAATTTCTCCATCCTCGAGTCCCTGGGGGGCACCGGTGGTCCTAGTCAAGAAGTCAGACGGGTCACTGAGATTCCGACGCCTCAATGCCGTCACGCTGGCCGACGCATATCCCCTACCACGTATTGACGACTCATTGGATGCACTGGCGGGAGCAAAATTTTTCAGTACGCTGGATTTATTGTCCGGGTTCTGGCAGGTCCCACTAGACGCGGACTCCCGGCCTAAAACAGCGTTCCAGACACCACAGGGCCTGTTCGAGTTCAACTGCCTGCCTATGGGCCTCCAGACTGCGCCGGCGACGTTCCAACGCATAATGGAGTTGGCCTTAGCAGGCCTCCAATGGGAAACGTGCCTCATCTACCTGGATGACGTCATTGTCTTCAGCCGATCATTCGAGGAACACATTGACCGATTACGTCAGGTATTCCTGCGGTTCCGGAACGCGAACTTGAAGCTCAAGCCGTCGAAGTGCCACCTGTAGGGGCAAGTGCTGCTAGCGAGTAGCAGCAGCAGCAGCTATGAAGGCAAAGACAAAGATGCCCCGTGTAGCCTGTAGTAGCAGGCTGTAGGGCAAGTGCTGCTAGCGAGTAGCAGCAGCAGCAGGAGCTATGAAGGCAAAGACAAAGATGCCCCGTGTAGCCTGTAGTAGCAGGCTGTAGGGGCAAGTGCTGCTAGCGAGTAGCAGCAGCAGCAGCAGCTATGAAGGCAAAGACAAAGATGCCCCGTGTAGCCTGTAGTAGCAGGCTGTAGGGGCAAGTGCTGCTAGCAGAGGGGTGGGTGGCCAGCACCACGCCCGGCCGCCTTAGTCTCTCTTCAAATGGAAATGTTCATACAGTTTTCGATTTAAAGCTTTCGTGACTGCAGGGATTCATCTTCTTGGTTCTTTCGGTAAAGTCACGTAGAAGGGAATTAATAAAATAATAAAAATAAAACATAATAAAATAATTCTCACGACGTTTCGGCCACAACGCAAGCAGCCGTTCTCTGGTGAAGAACAGGTCTGTCGGGGAGACAGCGTCTGAATGTCTCCTCGACAAACCTGGTCTTCACCTGAGGACGGCTGTCGGGGAGACAGTGTCTGAATGAAGAGGACACACTGAAGAATTTGAGTCAGTCTTTTATGTATTTTGCATTCATAACGTGAATGATAATTCCCCCCTCCACCGAATGCACGTGTGTTGCTAGGGGCAACCCCCGGTCAGCTGTCTGCGCATGTGCAGATGCATATTCAAATAATAATAATAGCACTAAATTGTTAACTATTTAAAGTTGACGTATGCGAAAATAGAACAGCGCTGGCTCACCGTGGGGCTTATCGCCTGGTACCCGGGTACTTTGAACGTAAACCCTACGGTTCGCGAGCCAAATCTTTCGCAAGTTTCGTCCACGCACAGACACAGACAAACACAGACACACAGAAAATGGCTTTTATAGGCAAGATTGTATAGACGTGTAGTGTAAAGTAGTGTAGTGTAAAGTGGATATAGTGTAACGTGGCTCAGTGAAGGATATGATGGATGCCACAGGGTCACCGAACCCCATTGTGAATCCTCAGTGTGCCGAGTGAATGTTTCGTAGATTTGGCGTTAACAAGAACGGAGTAAAAAGAATAACACTTAGTTACTAAGCACATTCAAGTGATGAGGGTCAAAAAACAGTGCTTCTGCATTGTGGAAATTGACACAAGTGTATAGTAAGGTAGTGAATTGTGTAGTGTATCAAAGTGTAGTGTTTGTAGTAGTGTAATGTATAGTGTAAAGCGGCTCGTAATGATGGGCATGCTGGACGCTGTGGTGCCCTAAACAACTTTGTGGGGATCTCCAAACCCCCACAGCACCTGGCTGAAACCAGATGGAGTCCAATTTCAGCCGAGGCCACCCCCAGCCCGTGGCTGGAGGCTACTTGCAGAAATATTGATCGACGGTCGATGGGCACAGCTTGCACCTGACGTTCCAGCGGAGTTGTTCCTTGCATCCGCACTGCTTCTCCACCGTGACTGGGAAGGGAACAGCAGCAGAGGCAACGGTGCGAAACGGACGCGTGAACCATCGTCGTTTTGCTCACAATGATTTTTCATCGCAATTTTGCGATCGTCGTTGACGTCGCGAGGTGAAAAATCTCCCTTCGAGCGACCCAAGGTTAACGGAAAGCAGTTCTCAAGAAATGTTTTCTATTTAATTGTGGAGTTTACAGTACTGTATAGTGCAGTGTATAGGAGTGAAGAATAGTGTATAGTAGTATAGGGACAGTGCGGAAAGAGAGAGACGGTGCGTGGGTGGAGAAGGGGGGGTGAGGGGCTCACCTTGCGAGATGTCGTATCCTCTGTCACAGCACGTGATGACGGAGCATCCCTCGGTGCCCTCGGAGGTGACGTTGCACCGCCGCCCCACCACGCCGGGGATGCCGCTGGCGTCGTCGCGCTCGCAGTATTCCGGGCTGGCGCTCACGTGCACCAGCTCGCTCGCCGTGGGCGCCGTCAACCACTCGTTCACCGGCTCCAGACGCCAGCGGGACCAGCGGGACCAGCGGGTGGCACCGCCGGTAACGGCACCGGCTGCACCGCCGCGACGACCGCTCGTCTTGTGGCTCACCAACCGCATGGCGGAACTTGTGTCGTACTTTTCCTGCAGCCACCATTGTCATCATCATCATCAGGGGATGAGGAGGATCCGCCATGTGTGTTTTTGTTGAAGTGGTGGTGGTTGTTGTGTGAATGCGGGGAACCTCCTTAGTTGTTAGGGACCCCTCCCCCTGTTTGTAGCCCACCTGTCAATTAATCCTTAATCCCCCACCCACACCTCCTCCAGGTGCAGTCTCATCACCGGCAGCCGTGAGCTCACCTTCAGAAAGTTTCCAACTTTGCGAAAGTCGGCGAGATGCGGCGAGCAGACCTGGAGCACGCAGATGCCAAATT